CGACTTTGGAATCCAGCTGTGTCAGTGCAAGATAGCCAAGTCACTGGTAGTCTCCAGAACGAGTGCTTAGTGGCGCGTCAAGTCTAAGAAGATGAAAGTATTTTAAACTCTCATGATGCCGTCTGGTGCCGTTCGTCAGAAACGGACGTCCAAGGCCATGGTCTTGTGCATACCAGAAAATTGACAGCGGAAATGTCAGGAGTTTAAATTTCAACGATGGAAAGGATTTCACGCTTCAGGAGCTGCTGAACGGAACGCTCAGAGCAATCCACAACGAGAACGGCAAGATAGAACAATGAGCGGCCACATGAGCGATGGTCCGGCAAAACGGTTAAACTGCGAAAAAATTGCAAAGAAGCTCTTGGCCAGCACAAGCGCTTCCTGTAATTGAAAATGTAAAATATTTCTTTGTACTTTGAAAAACGCGATAGGCGATTATGCTGAGTGCACGCGCCTCCTGAAAGAGAAGCCGGCCGCCGGCCTGTGATGAGTTCCTTTCAGCCAGCCTCATTTTTCAGCAGGGCGGCTCCTCTCTGAACCCTGCCACCTCATCAGAGCAGGATGAGTGGCCGCCAAATTCCGCTGACCTGATTCCTCTGCACTTTTGCGTCTGGAATGCGCGGTTGAGGGAGCGTACCGGCCTCGTCAGCAGAAGCTTCTTAGTCTGAAAAAGCTGAAGGGCCTCCCGGCTGCAGGGAGGATGGTGTCACAGAATACTATAAGGAGGAGCACCCGTCAGTAGACGCAGAGGCTGCCTCCTATGGTTTCAGCTGATGGTGGTTTCACAGCTCATGTCTTACAATAAAAGACTGCCAATGCGCAGGAAACGCAAAGAAAAGTTGACTACGCTGAACTTTGGCGCGCACGGTCTACATGGCTTCGTCATTCGACACTCAAAACATCACGCAGATGCATACTGACTCCATCTAGACAATGTGTACGCAGCTTCCAGCTCGCCGACCAGCTGACTTTAGCACCGATACTGCATTCTCCTCGGCCGCCCTAATGCGGCGCATTCGCCCACGAGCTTGATTGCAGGTCAGTTGCAATCTGAAGTTATTATTGCGTTTTAACCGCAATCGGCCCCTGCAGCGGAATTCGCGTTCTAATTGAGCCGTCGCCACCGACCAGTGGCGGATCCAGGAATTTCGTCAGGGGGGGGGGGGGGGTGGGCACGCAGCATGGTACACCTCTCCTGGAGTTCAAATCCTCGTATCTCGGCTGTTAAAGCTGGAGCTTCTGGTGTATGCTACTTGTCATGCGCAGCCTATATACGCATGCACATACATGGAGCGCACTCATTTTCTCCAGATCGTGGTGGATCCTGTCATTTTTGGGCTAAGTATGTCAAGGAATACATGACAAAATGAGTTAAAGCTGGCTGCTAAATATCATTAAAATTTAGCGTGACGCTTGATTCAGAGGTTATTTACGGCCAGCCGGCTAGTCGTTGTGATCAGCTCACGGTTAGTGACTAATACAGACTTTGCATTTTGACTGTACTGAAAAAGTACAAAATACCCTAGCATCCAACATGTGTTTAGAACACAATGCACAATGATGCATCTGAATAACCAGTGAATTGACACATACCCATCGCTGAACGAGGAAGGGCCCCGGCTGGTGAACATTTTGGGCCACACCCAGAGCTCAGGGCCCTCCTAGCAAACGAAAATAACCCGATATCAATGTACATAAATTGATGTGATTGAGCAATCGTGAGCGTTTTGGCGCATGCACGCATAGGGCCCGCGACCACAGCGTGGGGTCCTCCACAAACATCTGTAGTGCCCAAGGTCATTGTGGCGGGCCCCTGTGCAATCAAGAGTGCCTGGGCAGGTTAATAGAAAGGGCCGCAGTAGGAGCATGGGTCCCCGCAAATGAGATCCAAGGGAAAGAGTCCTGGACCAGTGTTGACGATCCCTGTGCATTGAGTGTCTCAGGTACGTTAACTCGTATGAATCCAGCAACAACGCAGGGCCCTCCGAGGAAGTGGAAAGACATCGAGACCAATGTGAAGGGCCCCTGAGCAACCGAGGGTACCCCGGCAGGTTAACACTCGGCAACAGCACACAGAGCCTTTTAGGCGAATGGGAGGAATCCGTGGGATCTTGATGGATCAAGAGTACTCCGGCAGGTTAGCATGTAGGGCCCGACAACAGCACGTGGTCCTCCGAGCAAATGCAAAGAAGTCAAGGGGAACGTGAAAGTCTTCTTTTTTGTTGACGTCCGATTTTGTTGCGTTTTGTGCAAAAAAACTACGCCCGTTTGATCTGTTATGGGCCCTTCGGGGCGTATGAGTCGTTCGGGACCAAGGGGAGGTGGCATAGCCCAGTGCCTCCCCTCCCCCTCTGGATCCGCCACTGCCGACCACAGCGGCTGTCCGGCGAGTGCGGAGCGGTGCGCTGGCGCCAGAGCGGCTGAACTCTCGCGCACCGCCGCACCCGTACCCGGTCCAGTGGCGGCCCAGAGCTGTACCCGGATACAGTGCCAGCTGGGGATCGGACCAGGCACGCCGACCGGAATTGGCGCCGCGGAACACCGCCCGGCACTCCCCAGGCGGGCTGGTAAGGGCTTGCACTAGCAGGTGGTGGAATGGTGCAGAGACGTTCGCGGAAAATTTCGATTGAGCGTTCCTTGGAGTGCTCCAGTGACGTCATCCACGTACGAGCATGCGGCACGACGTTGGCGGATAAAGCAGCTTATCTCCAATTTTTAGGCTGATATCAGCATCGATTGCGTAACAGACGATCCACTGTCAGCCGTCGTGCCGCGCCGAAGGGATGGCTTAACTTCACGTGTAATCCGAGTAGAGGAACCGGTGCCTAGGTCATCACCACGATCGGCCCGATGTAATGGAGTCGTCCGAGAAAGGTCAGTCAGCGTTAGCATCGCCAGGTTCATGCATTAAAGGCTTAACTACCTGAGAGTGGCGCCGTTGCAAGTGCAAATGTTTTAAAACATATGATGTACGATGTAATGCAGCCATCGTTTCGTTATGGCATGCAGCAGTCGGGAGATGCGCCAGCCTGGGTTCCAATCAGCGACCGCAGATTAATTATTTTGGCCCACACCGACAGCTACACCTCACGATTCCCCACCCACCGGGCTAAGACGTGCTGACATTGGCTCGTGGGTCGTGCCGGGCGCCTATGGCTGCCTCCAAGGTGAGCGAGAGGGGGGAGGGGGTCATCGCGGCCTTCCAGCGTCCGCCGTGCGGACGGTCACGGTGCCGGCGGCTCGGTGGGCAGGCGTGGGTGGTGGGATCGGCCCAGCGCCGGCCCGCGGTGTTGCGGTGTATGCTCTGAGCCTGGCGGACGGTGGCCATGTCCCGCAGTGAGTCCATTTAATTGGAGAATACCTGAATCACCTGCCGACGGTATCTGCCATCTGCCGGATGAGCTTCAGCACGCACACGCACATTGCACCGAGGCGGCTACACGCGTCATTTTTATCGGCGGCGTGAGAATGCCAACTTTTCAACTCTTGCTGTCTTTTTGGGTGCACTCGCAGCATTCAGGAGCCGAATTGACATTTAGCGCGAAGGCTTGGTGCACATTACCCGCGAGGTGTTTGGAATATTTTGCATTGCGTGGAAAATCGCATCGGCCGCCGGCAAAGCGCGAGGAAAAAGCGAATTTCGGACTCCACGCAGTGATCTCTGTCATGTTGGGTCACGTAAGGGCAGACCCAATGCCAGACCTATAACCCGATGTCCGTCATGCGCGTGTGCCGTAACTCACGTCAAGACTACATGAGAGCCCATGGGAGATAAAGTAAGGGGACATAAACCAACATCAAGTTACATGCATTGCATGCGTAGGTGTCGCTGGGCAGAGCTCTGAAAGGTCGTGCCGACGCTAACCCTGCGGTTCAGGAGGTGGTCGACGCTGACCCTGCGCCCCCGGAGGTGGCTGACGCTGGCCTGTTTTCACGTGGCTCCGTGATAGAACCACTGTTGGCCGGGCTCAGCCGCTCGTGCTGGTATGTCAATTCATGGACATGCAGTAGCCACACGCTGCAGTGACAAATGCGAACAGACTGCTTCTGGGCATGTTAACTGTAAATGGTAATATAAAATACATCGCCGGTCGCTCAAAATGCTTCGCTGTCCCACTAGCGGTAACGATGCTGCCACATACTAATAACGTTAGAAAAATGTGTTGGTGTGTTTGCTGAATGGTGTGGACAAGTCCAATATATGAAATAGTGCGCTGATAGTAGCTAAACAAAAACTGTAGGTGCAGGTGGTAAGTGGAGCATTTATATCTTTAAGGAAGTTTTATATCTTGGGAGTGGGCAAAGTCATCTCCCGTTGGTGGGCATCGCCTCTCCAGTGCCGCTTTTAAGTATGTCCTGGGCATGACTAACCTGTGGGGACCCGTCGGCCACCGCTGATTCGACGGCGCGTGGCTATGTAATGACCGGTGTTAAGCTGTAGTGGAGGCCAGTGCCGACGCTGCACCCACCAAGGACCCCGTAACCATCTACTGACCCGAAGCCCCGGAGGCCGTGACCCTTACCGATCCAGGAGACCTCCCACGCTGCCCTGTGACCATCTACTGACCAGACGCCCCGGAGGTTGTGACCCTTACCGGTCCAGGAGACCTCCCACGCTGCCCCGTGACCATCTACTGACCCGACGCCCCGGAGGTTGTGACCCTTACCGGTCCAGGAGACCTCCCACGCTGCCCTGTGACCATCTACTGACCCGACGCCCCGGAGGTTGTGACCCTTACCGGTCCAGGAGACCTCCCACGCTGCCCCGTGACCATCTACTGACTTGACGCCCCGGAGGTTGTGACCCTTACCGGTCCAGGAGATCTCCCACGCTGCCCTGTGACCATCTACTGACTCGACGCCCCGGAAGCCGTGATCCTTACCAGTCCGGGTGACCTGCCACGCGGCCGCTTGGCAGACTGTTGGCCGGATACATCGGAGGTCATGACCCTTTCCAGTCCAGGTAACCCGTGACAGTGTTCCCGTCACCAATCACTGACCTGGTGTCGCCGACACATAGACCTCCATCGGAGCGGTCTCGCAGGAAGCAGGCGTTGTCGCGGCCCAGCAGGTTGGTATTGGGGTCCTCCATCAGCTCGGGACACAAGACGAGCGGCACGCAGATCAGCTGGGCCGCCGCCGAGGTCACCCCCAGCAGCAGCGCCGCCAGCCGCCAGAGCTGCGGCAAGGGGGGGGGGGGAGCTTGGCCTTGGCTCTATCTCTTACCGCCGCTGCGGTCAGCCGTCGTGTTCGGTGCCAGCCGAGCGGTCTGCAGGCCTATATGCGGGGCGGGGCTGAGGAATACCTGCGACGGAGCTGGGCCGGGCCTGGGGCGGACCTTGGGCGGATCTGAAGATACGTCGGCAGGACCAATAGGAAGTCACAAGACGCCATGTTGAGCCCGTCGCTAACGGGGTGGTATGCATTTATCCTTTCATCTTCAGCGTGCAGCTTTTCAGCGAGCAGCTGCACGTGCATCCCGTATTCTCTATCTCGGGCTCACGCGGGCGAGTGTTTTGCAAACAGCCATTTGGAGGATGGCTATGCAAGAGTTTCTGATGGAAGCTCAAAACTATATCAAACGGTTAACGCAGGCGGGTCTGATTGTGACAGCCTATGGAAAAAATCGATGGCGGCCCTTCGAGCGCGGGTGCTTGGCAAAGCTATATCGTTTGCTTCTATCCGTGCTGTTCATTACGCCCATTAACTTTTTATCATTTCAGTTAATGCGTAACATGCAACCTGTACTGATTGTTTCATTCACTTCTTAGGCTGTTTAAGTCTTAATAACATGCAACTAAAATAAAATGTTTCACTTTTTGGAAAGTACGCTGTGCCTTATGTATGGCGCAATGCAAATAAATATAGGAAATACAGAGTTCAAATAATGTACCAAAAATCTTTGCCAAGATAATGTAGCCCAGATGGAACAGGCATAGTAGCTTTGTGCCTGCTTGTTGTATCCAGTTCTACACTGGACACTTAGACAAAGGTTTTGTGTTAACGAAGCACGATGATCATAATTCCGTTTTGTAACGTGTAACTGTGACAATGAAGCTTGCCATGTCGAGCGATTTGGCGGACCGAAATAGCTTTCCTATTGTATGGTTTCTAGAATCAGATGATTATGGCGGCTGAAACCAGCACTTCAGTTCTAAACAGCAAGAAACACAACCTGAAAGTTGCAGAATGAGGGTTCCAGCTCATTGCGCATCAAAAATATATAATGAATATTGGGCCGCAAAAAGTGTGTCATTTGTATACCAGGTGCCCAGAAAACCTGTACGCCGAAAACAGATTGTAACAATTGAAGGAAGGTGTCGCAACCGGTTTCGTGAGCAGCCGTAACAACCTTTGCAGTGGGACCAATTCAATAAACACTACCGTGGCAGTATTTTAAGATGGCTTTGGAAATCACCGTTGAAACCACTCGAAAGTAAGGTTGGCGCTTCCAACCAATCGTGGGTCATAAGCGACATGGGACGGCTCGGGTCCAGACACAGTCCCTCCGTCACAGCCTGGCGCCGTGCTGCCGCTTACCTGGCGAGTCATGTTGCGAGTTTGTGACACGATCTCTCGCCACTTGCCGGATGGCGAGGTCTCTTTCCACTATCCAGAGGCACGGCTCCTCGTCACAGATCCGGTGGGATTTCTTCGCCACTGACCCGATGGCACTGCTTCTCGCCACCGACTCGATGGCACGTTCCTTCGCCACTGACCCGGTGGAACTGCCTCTCGTTACTCGACCGTGTGTCACTGTCTCTCGCCACTGACCCGATGGTGAGGATCTCCGCCAGTGACCGGCGACTCGGCCCCCCTCGCCACTGACCCGGCGGTGCGGTCTCCAGTCACTGGCCCTCGGTCGGCGCGGCGGCCCGCTCTTATACCGGATTATAGAACGAGTTCGGGGAACGGCAACGGCAGCGTCAATGAGTGCAGCATCTGGTGACGCGGACACACCTCAGCGGCAATTGTAGGGTTTGGCAGGCTGATCGATCGGGCTGAAGTGCTCGATGGTGGCAAGTTGAGTTCGGAGCATATTTCAACCAAATCGTACGGTAGTCACGCTTTGGAATTTGTCCCCTCCTCTCCATCTTCAGCAGGTCCGCAAGTGTCAGGCAAGGTGACGACACTACGCTAACTCAAGGTGCAAGACTTGAGTCTGCACCTACCGCTTCCACAGTGATGCTCTCTTACCCAGCTCTCCACCTCCGAGGGTCCGCTCCACTGCCACGCTGGTGTGGACACAGACGAAACAATCCAAGGATCGGGCGGCGGCTGCACGGCACAGAACGGTGTGCCCCATGAGGGGTACGGTCGCGTCTCGGATCACGGCGGCGTGGGGCGTGAGGCCGCACAGGCCGCACAGTCGTTTTACGGCAGGGTGCGAACACGACTGTGCCTTGTTTGCGTCGCCAACGCCCAGAGCTTCCTAAACGGTGTTATAGGGGTTATGCGGGTCATTTGTTGGCGAAGTACACGATTTCTCAACTGAAGCATGAATAGCCTTGCAAGCAGGAGCAAATCTGGTTTTTGGGAAGGCTTTAATCTGGTGCTTTTGGCGGTTTATCAGGGATTTAGCTGACCAGAAAGGCAGCGCTGTGGTGTTCTCGATGGAGAAGGTGCGCCAGGGACGGACAGCCAGTGGCCGGCGGCAGTCTGCTCCCAATGTACCCAAACGGTGGTGCTGGTGCCGCTCGGTTGGTGTAGAGTGAGTTAAACCCGGGCTTCATGCACTCAGAAATGCCGTAACATGCTATAAATTTGACTGAACCACAATTTTGCAAGGGCAGATAATTGATTAATTATTATTTCTAGAAAACAACTAATTAATTAATTAATTCTAGAAAACAACTGACACGTTCGGCCCAGCTCCTTAAAATGCAAGGTACCTGGAGATGGTGACGGAGAAATGTTAAGTGCTCATCGAGGTATGCATTTTAGTTTGAATAGTCCCTGTATGTTGACCGAAGCAAGCCTTTGAGACATGTGTTGGAAGAATGTCTTTGGGATTGCTTTGGAGGATTAAAACAACCAATGAACTTTAAGCTTTGGCTGAAAACTCTATCCAAAACCACAAACTTTATCAGCAAAAAAATACACTTAGCTCAAGACCTAGGTGACAAACACACAATTCTTGCGATACGAGATCTAACCTTTATGCGACATAATGAGAGTGTTTGGGCCACTCGTGGAGGAACAGAAGAGCGCACACATCCCCGGCAGTAAATTTATTCCATACCAAATGCCCCACCCCTGCCAGGATCCGCAATCCTCCTCTGCCATTCCTGCGCAGAAGACGGATACCGAGTCGCATGGAGACGTGGGAAGTATTCGGGGCCCGTCCGGTCTCAGCTGAATGGAAGTACGTGTTCAAAGCTGATGGAGGGAGTGGGGCAGAGCCACGCGCCGCCGGCCGGACGCAGAAGAAGCTAACTTGGACTGGCCGGTCGAGAAGCTATCGTGCGAGCAGATGTGTCCGCTCGTCCGCTGTGTTGGACAGCACATTTTGAAGCTGTCCAGCGTCATCGTGTTCATCTTTATACGCTAATTCTTCAGGAGGCACTGTTGTGCAGGACATCTAGATGCCTATCCGCTGGCTTGCCGTTACGTGGGTTTAGATTTGCGGAGTTCTTATCAGTCCATCGCTTGACACATTACAAAACTCAGTGAGCTCAGGCTGGTTTCGACAAGGTTTGAATGCAGTGATCTTGCAGTGCGTGATGATGTGGTTAACATATTTTAGCTCGCAGCTCGCATCTCAGGGCGTTGCGAAAATCCCATGTAGAACAAATAACAATGGAGGATTACAGTTTTTAAACATGCCTGAGATGATGGACCATACGGTTTGGTATCCCGCTGGCTACCAGACTGTGCATGATGTGAGGCTTCGGTGTGCCCCAAGCAGTAACACGCTCACGACCACTGTTAAACAAAGGAGGAAGCAGGCTACTGTAACTGTTCTTTCATGTTGAGCTGATCACCCCCCCCCCCCCCCGCCGCTAACTTTTTCCTGCCTCATCGCCTCATCCTTCCAGCTAGAGCGTTGGAATCTGGAGACTTTTGATGTCTACCGATTCGGTACATGGCATCTAAATTTTGAAACCTTCACTATCTGGAAGACGCTCCAGGGCTACCTTGCAGAGTGTTAGTTCACGACAAAGTTATGTGTTTTAAAACCACACGTTGTGGGCGATGTTTTCTGTTTAGAGCTGTTTAGCATGTCTTTTCATAAAATTTGATTGTAGCGTGGTAATTAGAGCATACGCAAGGGGGATAGAGTAACACTTGACTGATTTTGGTTTCGATACTGAAATCAGTAGAGTTGTGCTAACAGGATGGGTGTAGGCCGATTGCCACCCATGTGTCGGATGATATTTCCATGAATATCATGCAGTAATGGACAAAAAGAGGCAACGGGTGAGGCCATGGAGAGGTGTTGAAAACGAGGACTCAAACTGCAATCCCAGCGATTTTAGGCAGCTTTTTGTTGAAAAAGGGGCCTTGATATCCCAGCAGCGATCAAATGTTGCAGAGGCAGATGCATCAAGCCACAGAGGTGGCAGAAGGTAAACAAATGCGAAGAAGAGCTGTAGTTGTTATTCCCCTAACCAGGGGTGCCACCTTCTGAAATCAGTTAGGGTGCTGAGCCGATAAAAGTGACTTTATCTACCCCAAAGTTCTGATTTCTCCTCGAATTTCGGTCCCTTTAGTTTAGGTCCCCAAAATCAAAATCAAGAGCAAAAAGCAGTTGGCCGATCCCAAAATGATTTTGGGGCTAGGGTGTTACTTTCAGGCTGAGGCTGCATTTTTATAAAAAGCTTAGGAGGCGGGGTAACTCAAACTTGTTTGTAGATTAACGTGCTGTGGTCAACAAAGAAAGTTTTTGGCATTCATCAATGGTGGAGAGAAGCACAAGAGACGTTGTTATGTAGAATGACGTGACTTGACGGGTACAGACGAGAGACTATTACAAAATTCGTGTAAACAACTAGGATATAAAAATGGAACTGAGCCGCACGACCTTCTAAACGGACGTGTAGATTAATGGAATGACGCAATAGGTAAAGACTGCTGGCAGTATGGTCACCAGTGACCGTTTGGGAAACCAACGCAATCAGCGCTTTGACACGTGTTAGAAGTTGCATAAGTAAGAAAAGCCTCTGACCTCTTGATATTTCACCGTAATGAGTTCGGAGTTTTCATGTTGAAAAAAATCAACCTTCAGCATACGAGGAGGTTGAGGTTGAATAACGTTATCAATAATATCGTATGAATAACGTTATCAGCATGCGTCACAATAAAAAACTGTCGTTTGGAGCCTGCGCTCGTGATCAGGTTTATTCGGAAAAAAATTAACACCACCCAACATTTTTTGCTCTGGAGCACACCGCACAAAACGTGATTATTATGTCCCTCGACACAATGGTTATGGTACAGCCAAGTAGAAGGCCTACCGCCGAGCTGCACTCTAAACCACGTCGTCCCAAAATATACCGGAGCCCATCCCAATATCTTAGTTTGTTACAGCGCCTACCATCTGCTTCACCCACCCACAAAGCAAGGTGCGACCTAGTCGCCTCAGACGTTCACGATTTGCCTGTGGTTGGGGCAGCCTGTGGCCGATGACAGCGGCCGTGCTGACGGCCAGGTGACAGCAGAGAGCAGGGTGGATCGTGCCAGGCAGTGCGACGTGTTAAGCTTTCTCCTGAGAATTATGCCGTCAACTGGGTATTGTGTGATTGTATGGTGGAGTCTGTGGAATCTGGTGGGTGGATGGATGGATGGTGGTATCTGGGTTCGCGTAGTGCTTATCAAGGGTGCTTACCTCAGAAATGCTCCGCTCCACCACAATACATCCCAGTCTGGCATGCATCAAGGCTGCTAAGAAAGCAGTCACATCACTAATACACAGACCGGTTGTATGCATCTTATGCCCCTCCCCCCACCCCATCTTATCTTGTAAGTGCAATGTTGCTGAAATATCCCTTCTTTCCATGCGAACGGATATCCAGAACACTGAGTGAGGCCTCCCGGTTGTGTCGCAAAATCTTGGTCTAACAATACAACAACATCAGGTTTGCTAAGAGGGACATATGATACAAACAGATTGTCTATATAACGTAAGTTGCTGAGTTCATTTGCGAGGAGCATTATTCACATAGACAAGACGGTATTAATAGTCTTATTCCTCAGGCTATTACTTATTACTGAGGTTGTCTCTATGTGAAACTACAGTTTAAACGAGTGAACGAGATAAAAGTTAACCCACGTTGTACTCAATAACCAGCTCAGTCACAGCTGCTGTTATCACTACTGGCAAGTGCATTTCTTACACAATTAAAACTGTGGAGGATTCGGAAGAACATTCGATGACAACACGTGATCACGAGCCCTGGCATTCACCAGTGATCTCACATTCGTTAGATCCTGACTCCGCCGAAGATGTTTTGCGGATGAGAATGAGCGTGTTGTCAGCACCACCTCAGAGCGCTCCCACTTCCACTCTGACATCCTCCTGGGCGGTTCTGGCGCATGTTCACGGGATTGCCCGGGAAGAGCTCCAGATGAGCTCCAGATGAGTGGCTCCAGCAGGACAGAGGCACACAGCACGAGCTTCACTGGAGTGCTTGGAGGAGTATTTCATTGGAATGCACATCAACGTAAGACTGTCATGGAGTGGCTTCGCCCTCGTCCGACACGTCCTTCTGGACGTGATGCTGCTGGGTAGCCCGAAGGAACGCGTCCACGTGGATGGGTCAGCACTCCTTCGAGGGCTCAGGACCGCTTTCAGGCTTGAGATGGGA